ACCCATAGCAAAGATATTTGTATCATCTATAGCTAAGAACCCTGCAATTTACTCCCTAACTTGCCATAACGTCCTGGGATACACTTAGTCAGGTGCCGTAGATTTATCTACTTTAATGTTTTTTTTAAGACCTCCAGCACTTGCTCTTCTGTAAAGTGGACTTTTTCATGACATCAATATTTATTTCCCCGAGTTCCCTAGCCTCTAGCTCTTTCTCCACAGCAAGAACGGATGCAAAAATCTTCATTTATTATCTCTCCCATCTCCTGTGGTTCCACAGATAGACAATCTTGTTGATCTTTAAGGGGCCCTATTATCTCCCTAATTGTTCTTAATGTACTTGTAGAATTTGATTATCCTTGACCTTATCTGCCAAGGCTATCTCTTCTCCCCTATTTGCCCTCCTGATTGCCCTCTTAAGAATGCCCTTACACCACTTATACTCTAAGAGATTCATTTGATCTCAGTTTCTATACCTAATATATGACTCCTTCTTATTCTTGACCAGAGCCATGTATCTTTATTCATCCATTGTTCCCTGCTCTTACCAGTCTTACCCTTTACACTAACAGGAAGATAATGCCTCCAAACTCTTGTTATCTCACTTCTGAAAGCCTCCCACTTGTCAGTCTTCCTTTTACCTGCGAACAGTCTACTCCAATCTACTCTTGAAAGTTCCTGTCTCATGCCATCAAAATTTGCCTTACTCCAATTAAGACTTTAACTTTTATACAAGGCCTATCCTTTTCAATAACTATTTTAAAACTAGTAGAATTATGATCGCTGGTCCCAAAGTGCTCCCCCACTAACACTTTAGTCACTTGCTCTGCCTAATTTCCCAAGCAAAGGCCAAGATTTGTTCCTTCTCTAGTAAGTACACTTACATATTGATAAAGAAAATTTTCTGGAACACATTTAACAAATTTATTACTATCCAAGCCCTGAACAATAGAGCAGTCCCAGTCTATGTTTGGAAAGTTAAAATCCCCTACTCCTACAACCTTATTATTTTTACATATATCCAAGATCTCTCTACATATTTGCTCCTCAATTCCCCCCCACCCCCCCGCCGACTATTGGGGAGTCTATAGTACAATCCTATCAAGGTTGATCATCCTCTTCGTATTTCTGAGTTACAGCCATATGGCTTAACTGGACAATCCCTCAGAATTATCCCAAGTACAGCAGTAATGTTTTCCTTAATCAAAAACACCATTCCCCCTCCTTTCTCATCTCCCTTTCTATCCTTCCTATAGCACCTAAACCCCAGAAAATTGAGGTGCCAGTCCTCTCCCACCCTCAACCTTGTTTCTATAAAACTATAATGTCCCAGTCCCATATTCCCATACATGCCCTGAGGTCATCTGCCTTACCTACAAGAACCCTTGCATTAAACATAGAACATAGAACAGTACAGCACAGTACAAGCACTTCGGCCTACAATGTTGTGCCGAATATTATCCTACTACGATCAATCTACCCTGCATACCCTACATTTTATTATCCTCCATGTGCCTATCCAAGAGTCGCTTAAAAGTCTCTAAAGTATCTGACTACCACTGCTGGCAGCGCATTCCACACGCCCACCACTCTGTGTGAAGAACCTACCTCTGATATCTCCCCTATACCTTCCTCCAATCACCTTAAAATTATACCCCCTCATAATAGTCATTTCTACCCTGGGAAAAAAAGTCTCTGACTATCCACTCTATCTATGCCTCTCATCATTTTGTAAACCTCTATCAAGTTACCTCTCATCCTTGGTCACTCCAATGAAAAAAGCCCTAGCTCCCTCAACCTTTCCTCATAAGACTTGCCCTCCAGTCCAGGCAGCATCCTGGTAAATCTCCTCTCCACCCTCTCTAAAGCTTCCACATCTTTCCTATAATGAGGTGACCAGAACTGAACACAATATTCCAAGTGTGCTCTAACCAGAGTTTTATAGAGCTGCAGCATAACCACACGGCTCTTAAACTCAATTCCCGTACCAATGAAAGCCAACACACTATACGCCTTCTTTACAACCCTATCAACTTGGGTAGCAACTTTGAGGGATCTATGGACGTGAACCCCAAAATCCCTCTGTTCCTCCACACTGCCGAGAATCCTGCCATTAACCCTGTATTCTGCATTCAAATTCAACCTTCCACAATGAATCACTTCACACTTTTCTGGGTTGAATTCCATCTGCCACTTCTTTGCCCAGCTCTGCATCCTGTCAATGTCCCGTTGCAACCTACAACAGCCCTCCACACTGTCCACAACTCCACCAACCTTCGTGTCTTCAGCAAACTTACTAACCCACCCTTCCACTTCCTCATCCAAGTCACTTATAAAGATCACAAAGAGCAGGCGTCCCAGAACAGATCCCTGCGGAACACCACTGGTCACCCAGCTCCAGGCTGAATACTTTCCTTCTACTACCACCCTCTATCTTCTATTGGTCAGCCAGTTTTGAATCCAGACAGCTAAATTTCCCTGAATCCCATGCCTCCTTACTTTCTGAATGAGCCTACCATGTCGAACCTTATCAAGTGCCTTGCTAAAATCCATGTACACCACATCCACTGCTTTACCATCAAAGTGTTTTGTCACATCCTCAAAGAATTCAATAAGGCTTGTGAGGCATGACTTACCCCTCACAAAGCCATGCTGACTATTTCTAATCCATCTGTGCTTTTCCAAATAATTATAAATACTATCTCTCAGAATCCTCTCCAATAATTTGCCCACCTCAGAAGTAAGACTAACCGGTCTGTAATTTCCAGGATTATCCCTATTACCTTTCTTGAACAAGAGAATGACGTTTGCCATCCTCCAATCTTCTGGTACTACTCCAGTGGATAGTGAGGACGCAAAGATCATTGTCAAAGGGGCAGCAATCTCTTCCCTCGCACTTCCTGTAGAAACCTTGCATATATCCCGTCTGGCCCAGCGGACTTATCTATCCTCATTTTTCAATTTCTAGCACATCCTCCTTCCTAACATCAACCTGTTCGAGCATATCTGCCTGTTTCATGCTGTCCTCACAAACGTCAAGGTCCCTCTCACTGATGAATACTGAAGGCAAAGTATTCATTAAGGACCTCCTCTGACTCCGCACACAAGTTCCCTCCACTATCCCTGATTGGCCCTACCCTCACTCTGGCCATCCTCTTATTCCTCACATAAGTATACAAAGCCTTGGGGATTTTCTTGATCCTACCCACCAAGGTTTTCTCATACCCACTTCTAGCTCTCCTCAGTCCATTCTTCAGTTCCTTCCTGGCTACCTTGTAGACCTCTAGAGCCCTGTCCGAGCCTTGCTTGCTCAACCTTAAGTAAGCTTCCTTCTTCCTCTTGACTGGGTGCTCAACATGTCTTGTCATCCAAGGTTCCTTCACTTTACCATCCTTTCCCTGCCTTTCCCTGTCCCTGGGACAAACCTATCCAGTAACTGTAGGAACTGCTCTCTAAACAACCTCCACATTTCTATCGTGCATTTCCATGAGAACATCTGACCCCAATTGGTGCGCTGTAGTTCTTGCCTAATATCATTGTAATTCCCCCTCCAATTAAATACTTTCCCATACCGTCTGCTCCTATCCCCCTCCATGACTATAGTAAAGGTCAGGGAGTTGTGATCACTATCACTGATATGCTCTCCCACCAAGATAAAATAAATGTGGTTTAATTTTTTCAGTTACCTCATTCTCTGACTTGTTCTTGCCTGCCTTTTCTAATTAACTTGCTTTTTCCAATTGAGAACCATCCTCACTCTCACTCCTACTTAGGGTAACACCCCCACCATCCCACCCAAGTTTAAACCCTCTCAAGTAGTTCTACCAAATCTCCCCACCAGGATATTAGTCCCTCTCCAGATGCAACCTATCCCTCTTGTATAGGTTACCTCTGCCCCAAAAGAGGTCCCAATGATCCAAAAATCTGAATCCTTGCCCACTGCACCATCTCCTCAGCCATTAATTTATCTGCACCATCTTCTTATTCTTACTCTCACTAGCACACAGCACTGGGAGTAATCCAGAGATTACTACCTTTGAATTTCCGCATTTTAACCTTCTACCTAACTTCATACATTCACTCTACAAAGCCTCAACCCTTTCCCTAATTTTGTCGTTATTAACTGTGTGTACTTTTTTCCACTTCTCACTCTCCCCTTTGACAATATACTCCAACTGTTTCGAGACATCCTTGACCCTGGAACTAGGGAGGTAGCCACATGGAAAAATGTGGATTGATTCAGAAAGGTCAGAGTGGATTTGTCAAGGAAAGGTCATCTCTAACTTGCTGGAGATTTTTTGAAGAGGTGACAGAGAGGGTTAATGAGGGCTATTGATGTGATGTACATGGAACTTCAAAAAGGCATCCACTACATAACAAACTTATGAGGAAAGTGGTAGATCAGACAATAAAGAGGACTATAGCAAAATGGATACAAAATTGGCTGAGGGATAAGAAACAGAGTAATGGTATTTTTGGTTGGGTATTCATTGACTGTAAGAAGGTTTGTAGTAGAAGATCCAGACAAGAACCTCCTAACACTGGTAGAAGGCTACCACCACTAGCTATAGGTATCAACACTCATTCAGTACCATTCATTCATTTGTCGTCCAGGGTTGTTAAACTATTCTCAACTGTCATGGATCACTAGTTATGCATCCTTTTTTTAAAAAAATATTGCTTCTTACAAAACTACTTTAAATCACTTTTGAACTTGGTCCCTTTTCAGGTTAATTGGTGATTCCTGAATGTAAACCTTAAACGTTGTGCACCGGTTACTTAAATGCAAACTGAATACTTTGATCTTAAGGCAAATCTATAGATTCTGTTCTCAGGCAACTCAGGGATTTGGACTTGGTGGTTAGAATTAGAATGCAAGTGGTTTAGCCATTGCATTTATGGTTAGTCTCCAAGTTATTATATAAAAATATGTTGCTCATTGTATTTATAAACTTTAGGCAAAATAATAAGGCAGAGAATTTTTTGACAGAAAGACCTACCTGAACCGAAACCTTCTGCCTTTGAAAAAGATGTTGCTGCTGGAAACAGTCTTGATCTGACTGGATTTTTCATACCTAGAGATATGAAAAATATAGTATTCAGTGTAATTAGCAAAAGCAAATTTACATCCACATAAAATATTAGGTATTACTTCATGGCCTAGATTTACTCATTCTGCTTTTGTCAGAAGCTGGGCAGGCCAAACAATTTCAATTCAGAGATATGGATACTAATATAATAAAAACAGAATACTCTGGAAGCTGGGTATCTGAATTAAAAACAGAAAGTACTAGAGAACTGCAGCAGATCCGGCTGCTTTCGTAGAGAGAGAAAGAGATCTGTTTGAGTCGGATATGACTCTTCTTCAAAATGGAATACCACTACGGAATGCTAGTATGTCTGAATCTCAAACAGAATCTAAATCAGCAGGTTTTGGGAGATTCTAGTCTCCTGTGCCAGGGAGACATGTTTACAATTTAGTTCACATCTGCCAAACAAAAATTTATGGAACAATAATACAATTGAAGGGCCACACACTGTTTAGGTGATAAACATTGGACTTGTTTTTTTGTTTGAGATTACATTTACAAATACTTGTAATCATAATCTTATAGAATTTCACATTCAGTGACAGGGAAAGAAGAGTTGATCGAAGATTAGTATTTCAAACTTAAATTAGGGCAATTATAGGGACATGAAAGCAGAGCTAGCTAAAGTGAACAGAAAAATTAGGTTAAGGGATAGGTCAATGGAGATACAGGGGCAGACAATTAACGGAACGGAATGGAAGTATATATAAATCTTATATATGTAGAGCCTCATGTTCTGATTGCCAAGATGTAATGACTCATGTGCCACAAGGATCAAGGCTGTCTTTTTTTACAGTTTATGTAAATGATAAAGAAAAATTCCAAGAGTGACCCATTATCCATGGTTAAATAAAAACTTAAATAAAAAACACAGTAACCTAAAGATGGGTGGTAGCTCATAAGATTGGATAGAATATTTTTTAAAAAGCGATTAATGAAAATATTGACAAGGAAGGAAAAATTAGAATGTGTGTGAAAACTAATGAGGAACATATAAACAGATGGTAAGAGTTTCTACAAATATTTTAGAAAGCAGAGTCAAGAAAGAAACATCAGTCCTTTGGAAGTGAATCTGGACAATTAATAATGAATAATAAGGATATGGCAGATGAGGTTATGTTTCAGTTACACAATGCATTGGTGAGATCACATTTGGAGTACTGTGTACAACATGGGTCACATCATTTAAGGAAGAATAAACACTGTTCAAAGGTTTACAAAACTAATATCTGGTACTAGACCAATATCTGGAGTGGGTGGATTATTTTATGAGGAAGATTGGACAGTTTAGGCTTGTATCTGCTGGAGTTTAGAAAAGCAAGAAGCAACTGGATTGAAACGTATAAAATTCTGAGGAATTGCGGCAGCATAGATTGGCAAAATATGTTTACTGTTGTGGAAGAACATAGAACCAAGGATCTCTGTTTAAAAATAAGGCATTGTCTATTCATGACAGAACTGATAATATTTTTCTCACCAAGCATCTTGAGTCTTTGGAACTCTCTAAAGGCAGTGGAAGCAGAGTCTGTCAGTATTTTTAAGTCAGAAATGAGTAGATTCTTGATACACAAGGGGTGACGGTTTATCAAAGGTAGGCAGGAATATGGAGTAATCAGATCAGCCATGACTTTATTGAATGGTGGAGCAGGCTTGAAAAGCCAATTGACCTACTTCTGCTCCTAATTCGTTTGTTTATATGCTTGTATTATTTCTATGACCAGTTCTTCAGGCTATTTTGAGTTAGCATCAAATAAAAGCATTCAATCTAACCATACTTTGCCAAATCCCTCTCTTCCTAGACATATTATATCAAAAGAAAAATCAAAAGTGGCATATACATTAAATACAAAAACAAAGTTGCTGGAAAAGCTCAGCAGGTCTAGCAGCATCTGTGAAGGAGAAAACAGAGTTAATGTTTCGGGTCCGGTGACCCTTCCTCAGAAAGGTTTCTTTTGGTTTTTATATACATCAAACACGTAAATATTCATCACACTATTAGGCAATCAAACTGTTAAAACTGAACATTACAAAACAATTTTAAACAGCATATAAAATTGTGTGCATTATTTTAAACTGTGAGTAATCATGACAAATTTAGAGGGAGGAAATGTATGGGAAATGTATAATTTGAGAAAAGCTTATCAAATTGATCAATATAAATTAATATACTGCAAATGCTGGAAATCGGGAATAAAGACAAAGTACAGCAAATATTTAGTAAGTCTGGTAGCAAGCCTAACATTAGAGACAAAGTTAATGTTTCAGGTCAATGACCTTCTGATGAAAGATCACAGACATGAAATATTAACTCTTTACTCTCTCCAGAGATACTGCTAGACCTGATGAGTATTTCCAACATTTTCAGTTTTTATATCACTTTCATCAGTTTTCCATAAAAACATCTCAGTATTCAAAACTCACTTGTAAAAAGCTTGGTTCTCCACACCACATTTCCAAAGATGCTTGCAAGCAGCTGGGGTTGATGTATGGTAGGTCAGTACAGTTTTCTTCTAAGAATGTGAAACAAAAAATATTATTAAACTGGTGTCTAAAAATACATATAACAAAAATATAAGGCATATAATGGTATTGTGGGTCTACCTACAGCAGATGAACTGCAGCAGTTTGAGTAGACAGCTCACCATTATCTTCTGAAGAGCAACAGGGATGGGCAGTGAATGCTGGCCAACCAGTGATGCCCACACTCCATCAGGGAATTTTTTAAAAATAAGCAAAATTACTACCTATCAGCATGGCCATCTTTCAAAGTATTGATGCTTCGTATATGTCCTTGGTTAGCAGGCATTAGATGGGTGTTTGATCACGTGGGACTTGAGGGTATGTACTCAACCAAATATTTATACAGTTGTACTCTTCAGCAGGGTCACATGTATAGCAATTAGAATTGACACCCTTCACTTGTATTTTGCTCCTGCTAATAGGCTCTGAAGCCAGTTATTGTGCTCTGTTACTGTTGCATGGAGGGCTGCACAAACCTGGGACCTAATCCAATAACCTCTTGCCTTATACAACGCACTACCAGGCCACAGGATGTCACCCAATGAGACATTGGGAAAGACAGAGTATAGGGACATATCACTTCAACAATGCAAATCTGAAGATCAATAAGAGCAGATCGGTAATTTGAGGGCAGAATGTCACACTCATGAAGAGAAGGAAGATCAAATCAGGGAAGGCTTCATTCAGAAGCTATTGCTAGAGAAACAGGAGCAGAGGAAGAAAAAAGAACAATTAAAAAAAGTGATAAAAAGCTAGCTCAGGTAATCTTTAAAGGATCTGTCTGTTTACAATTATTAGTTTATGTTTATCATCTCCCGATATCTGGGGTTGTTTAGGTACAAATTAATAATCAACAATAAATTTAAAAACAAAATAACGAATCTGCATTTTAAACATTCTCTGGAAGTTTTAAACTTTGCTTAAAAGTTCTTTAAAGAACTGGAAGATATCAACTACTTAAATCTCCTCTGGATGAGACAGTAAACCAAAGTTCCAGGATCCTCCAGTGGTAGATGTAAAAAAAAATTCCCAAAACAGTAAGGAAAAGCAAAAAATTATTTCAGTGTCCCAGCCCTCAACCAAACATCACTAATAAACAGATTAACTGGTCATGTACCTAAACGCTGCCTATGAAAACATCGTAGTATGTTTAAATTGGTGGCTCTTCTTACCCACAATTGTGACTACTCTTCAAAAAGTACTTCATTGGCTGTTATTGGTAATTTGAGATGTCTTGGGGGTCTGAGAGATTCTACCAAATTGCAAGTTCTTTCATTTTTGTTACCTATGTAGCAGATAAGTTTATTTTTCGTTCATATTATTATTTCCTGGCCCTAACTGCTCTGGAGAAAGTACTGTAAATGGCCTTTTTTGAGTCTCAGGCAACATTACTTTTTACATATTCTTCCACAAATCCATAATTGCCATTGGCAATTATAAAAATACTCTAAGGTGCTTCACAGGAGCATAATCTGAGCTGGGAAGACATTACTACAGGTGATAGATCATAAAAGGTAGGTTTTTTTATTAAAAGAGAGCCTTAAAGGAGGACAGAGAAGTAGAAAAGTAAGGAAACTTAAGAATGACTTGCAGAACTTAAGGCCTAGACAAGAGAAGGCACAACCAAGAGAAGGAAGTGGAGAACGATCAAGACTTCACAGAATCATCGAATCTTTAATGATTCAGAAAAGGGCTATTTGGCTCATCATGTCATCACTTTAAACCTAGGCCCCTGTCACTCTGCTCAGGTGAAAAGCCCCTTCCCATCCATCTTATCCATTCCTTCACAATTCTGTACATCTCAATCAAAACTCTCCTCTCCTCCCCCTCACACACCACCCCTCGGGCTCAGCAAACACAGGCAAGCAGGCAGCCAGGCAGACAAAAATGGTGGCAGCCAAGGAGACAAAAATGTTTTGAAGTCCATCAACTCCAGGCTCCAGCTGGTTATGAAAAGTTGCAAATACATGCTAGGCTACAGAGATTTTGAAAATGATTCATCAAGGCAAAGCCAAGCTGATTATTCTTGCCAACAACCGTTCAGTTCAGCCTTGAGGAAGTTGGAGATGGAGGATTATGCTATGTTAGCCAAGATTGGAGTGCGTCATTTTAGTAGCAACGACATTTAACTTGATACAGCTTGTGGTAAATACTACAAAGTATGCACACTGACTATCATTCATCCTGCTGATTCTGACATCATCAGCAGCATGACAGAACAAATCAGTAAGAAATAAACTTGGCTCAACTCTGGAATATTATACAAATAAAGTTATTCCATTTTTTAAAAAAGGTAAAAATTCCATATTTCTTAAACAACTTATCAAGCTATCTTAGGATCATTAGAGATCTGTGGATATTCACTCCAAGGTCTCTCACTGCCTGGACACTCAACATTCCCCCCCTTTGTCTTGTTCAGTTTACTCAAATACATCATTTCAAATGTTTCCATTTGTGCTTTTCTATCTGCCTGACCAGTCCATTGATATCTTTCTATTTTTTAAGACTACCCTCCTCACTAACAATGACATCTTTTTTTTTCATCTGCAAGTTTCTTGACAATGCCCCATACATTTATATCTAAATCATTAACATACACCACACGAAGCATTGACTAGTACTGATCCCTGCAGCACATCACTGGAAACAGCCTTACAGTGGCAAAGACATCCACCAATAATTACCTCTTATTTCCTGTCTCTGAGCCAATTTTGCACCTAGCTTGCTTGCTAGATTCCCATGGAACCCACTTGGGTTTAAATTTTTTTTTAACAAATCTGTCATGTGGTACCTTGTCAAAGGCCTTGCTAAAGTCCACATAGACCACCTCAACTGCACTCCTCTCATCAATTCCCCTTCAAAATATTCAATCCGATTACATAGATACAATTTTCCCTGAATCCATACTGACATTCCTTAATTAATCCATATCCTTCTAAGTGATAGATTATTTTGTCTGACTGGTCTGTGATTAATTGGTCTATCCCTCACTCCCTTTTTATACAAACATACAACACCAGCAGTGTTCCAAACCTCTGACCTATACCCAATGAGGACTGGAAAATGATGATCAGGCCTTCTGCCTTTCTTCCCTAACTTCTTTTAACATTTCATTTGATCCTGTGATTTATCCACCTTCAAGGTTGTTAATCCCATTAATAATTCCCCTCTCCTTATATTTATCATATCCAATACTTCTAACAATTGGTCTGCCCAATTCTTACTTCTGTAAGCTTAACGTCATCCAAAACATGTTGTCTGAGTCTTATCACACAGTAAATCCTGTTCTATCAGCTCTTGTTGACTTGCATTAGCTCCAAAACAACACCTTGACTTTCAAATTCTCACCCTTGTTTTCACATCACTCTACTTTCCTAACTCTGTAATCTCACAAAGCCCACAACACGGAGATATCTGTGATGCTTTGATTCAGGCCTCTTGTGCATTCCTAATCATAAATGCTCCATTATCAGAGGCCTTGCATTCAATTGTTTGGTTCCAAGATCTTGACCTCTTTGCCTCCATTCCTAATTTTCCTCCTTTATGATGCTTTTAAAATCTACCTCTTTGACCAACTGATCATTCAAGTTAACATTGCCTCATTTGGATCGGTGACATACTTTATTTTAATGCTCCTGTGAAGCATCTTGGAAATGATTAGTTATGTTAAATATTAATAAGTTGTTGTTGTACACCTGGAAGAGCTTGTAAAGGGACACAGGATCATGGATTCAGTCGGTCTCAATATCCTCAAGGATCCTGCCAGGACTTGCTGTGAAAACTCATATGAAAAATGTCTTGTTAGGCGACCAACTGCCATGGGATAGTAGTGTGTTAGAAATACATATACATTAAGGGACTATGAAAGACTGGAATATGGCACTGTTTGGACATTCCAGATTAGAAAGGGTTTTTACTGTGTAATTTCTGGGAGTTGTATTCAGCAATAAGTACTGGAGAGTCAGAGATTGTAGTCTGCTGTAGTTCATTTACTGTTTACAACAAATCAAGTGATTTTGAAGAAGCAACGCTTTTGAGAAGAGATAACAGATGAGATTTATTCGTTGCTGGACAAACAAGTGAAGGGGTCCTGACTTGAAGGTTGCCTAGCAACAGTGTGGATTGGCAGTTGCTATATTTTCTAGCATACCTTACCTTCTTTTAAGGTGGAAGGTGTCTTCTCCCAGCCCAGGCCTAGTGACAAGGTGGCTTCCAATGGCCCAGAATAGCAGAATAGGCCTGGCAGGGCAGTCTCCTGGTGTGGCGGGCTTGACCAGGAGGGGTGATCTTGGCCTTGAGTGGCATTCTTGTCCAAGCACAGAATTCTCATCTTGGCATGGAGTCTCATTCTTGCTTTGGAGATGGCTTCCGAATCTTCCAATGGCCCAGTATGGAGGTCTCATCTCAGCATGGCAGTCTCGGACCAGCATGGCGGTCTCAGCCCGGTTTTCCAGCGTATCCCGAACCCAGAAGTCATTAATTGAACTGTGATGAACTTTGATTTTTTTTCTTATTTATGACTTCTGTCATTAATTTAGGCACCATGCTATGGTGACTTATAAAACTACTTTTTTTGTAAAAATACATGTGACAATAATTTGCTATTCTATTCTATTCTAAAGCAGAAGCAGAAACAGCTGTCAAGATCTCTCTTGGCTGACATATTGTAAGCATCTGATAAAATCAAAATATCAGGATTTCGAATTGACTTTCATCTGAGCTAAAGTCCGATTTGAAGATCTCATTGATTCTATAACTGTCAGGATTGCGTTCTCAATGACAGGAAGTCGACTGAACTTTGAAAATTCTTTTTTGTTTCCTTTGAGCTTGGACCCTTGGCCCCACTGGGGTGTTTTCCCATTTGCCCTTTTTCGCTAGAGTCGTCCTGTCTTGTCTGTCACGTGATTGTGCATTTTTAGGATTAAGGGGGTAAAGTTTAATTCCATGTAATGGCTTTATTGATATAACAAACAAGTTATTTTTAAGCTTA